AATGTGCAAAACGAGAGTGAATCTTCCGCTAGAATTCGGAAAGATACACCGCCAAGATTTTTGTCTTTTGTGCATGTCGAGAGTAGTGCAGCAACACCCTATATTTTAGGTCCATTCTTGGGATTGCACCTCGGAAGTATCTTGTCTGGCAGTCTGTCCAGATACATGTAGTGGAGCAAGGTCCGTTCGAGATAGAGAGAGAGAAGAATATGGGCCTCGCTGCACTACTCTCGAAATGTGCAAAACGAGAGTGAATCTTCCACTAGAATTCGGAAAGATACACCGCCAAGATTTTTGTCTTTTGTGCATGTCGAGAGTAGTGCAGCAGCGCCCTGTATTTTAGGTCCATTCTTGGGATTGCACCTCGGACGGCTCTGAAATCACAATTCCAAAATCCGAACCCATAACTGTTTTCCACAGATGGCAGGGACGTCGCAGAAGGATATAATCTCAGCAGAGTCTCATCAGAAGCATAGTGTTTCCCTCGTGGCTGAGGGTGAAAGAGCATCAGATGTTGCCACTGGTAACTGGTCAATTGGACCACAAGATGACAAATTGGATTAGGGGCCTACCCGACCCACATCTTAGGAAAAATGCATGGCTGTTCTCCACTGCTGATCTGCATAGATCAGCGGCGTCTGCCCGTTTTTCTTATAGAAATGGGTCCTGGCCGATCTTTGCCGCTGATCTGCGACGATCGGCGGCCAAGATTGGCCACTTTCTGTACTTGAAAAATCCGGGCCTACAGGACCCGGTTTCGAAATTGCGGGGCAGGGCCCGCCCCCACGAGGCCTTGGGAACACATACGCGCCGACAAAAAAAAAAATTCAGCCCCCAGCGAAAATGCGCTGGGGGCAACCGGGAGGGAACCGGCCCGGGCCACCGGCCAGTCCAACCGGAAGGACATCCGGCAACCAGCCCTGGTCTGCATAGCGTAGTTTTTTTCCACTTCAAAAAAAACAAAATTTGCTGGTCCTTCCTTGGTCTTTGCACGGCCAGGCTGCTCAGGCAGACAAGGTGATCTGGGCGGCACGGCTGGTAGCCCAGCAGCAGAGGGATTTTCTTTTTTCTTTATTATTATTATTATTATTATTATTAACCACTATTATCTCCACCAATGTTGGGAAATTACGAGCTTTTGCCAGTTCCCAAAGAAATGGGGGGTGGGACACAGGGTCGGCAATGGCCCATAGATCTGAGTTTTGTAGTGTCCGCGAGTGAAAGGAAAAGGGAAAAAAAAGAAAATGCTTTCTCTACTGCAATGATGTCGGGCAGGGTAGTCTAGGAGGCCATGCTCACAGTCTTCCTCCACTGAATGCAGGCGGTCACATTCTGGGGCCTCGGCCCACATGCAGCGTGTAGTGTAGTTTGCGCGCAGGGTGTGACAGGCCTTAGCAGTCAAGATGCCATGGATCGGACGGCATATGGCGAAGACACGCGTTTTAGAAATGGTGGGCCTCTGCCATTGATACGTGTCATTTCTCCATTTGTTTTCCGCATCGTGAAGACAGCGTTTGTGAGGCGGCCGTGTAGTTAGCCACCTCCAGAAAAGCAGGGTGGCTAACTACGCGGCAGGGTCCGGTCCAATGGACTGAAAAGTTATGAAAACGGCACGAAATAGGGCATGGGGGCAGTCGTTGGTCTAGGCTGCAGATGCGTGAATCTGTCAGTCTCCGTAGTGCAGACAAGATCGCCCGTACTGAGGCCGAAGAACGCGATCGATTTTCACCCCTGCCTCTGGTATGTGGAGTATGAACCTCATTAACTGTCGTGAGGCGCGTGGGATCTCTCAGTCTCCGAATGTGCAAAACGATACTGACTCTACCACTGGAACATGAACAGATACATTGACTTTTTTTTTATCTTCTCTCCATGTGGAGAGTAGTGCAGCAAGGCCGAAAGTGAAGGGATCACAAAGGCGAGAGTTCGAATCCGCAGTTGCAGAAAAGCTCATGTTTTTTTTTTTTTTTTTTTTTTTTCCCCCCCCCAGAGACTTACAGCCTGATTCTCACCTACTTGGGGTTAGAATCACTGCTCAGGAATTGCCTCTGGGCCGAGTGGGGAGATTTCTGATTTTCCATGGGCCGGTCCTTTCTTTGGCCTGCGGAGATCAACGGCAGCACTCTATATGGCCTGCTGCGAAGATCGGGCGCACCCTGACTCGCTGCACGATTTTTACAATAATGGGACCACCGTGACACATGGCGCGGTGCCATGGCACAGACAATATTGTGGATGTACATTTCCCGCTCTCTGCTGTCACAGTGTAGTTTTCAGGCACTACACGGTGCATGTGGGCCGAGGGCCCTGAATGTTACTGTTTTCTTTTTTTTCTTCATCGTGTATTTCTTACGAGTCCCCTGAAGGACGGAATCCGTGATCTGCTCAAGCTATCCGTGATCTGCTCAAGCTGTGTTTCATCGGAGGATTGCAACCCTCATCACACTGGCACTTAGGGGAATGTATCCAGCCATCCATGTGCCAGGCTTTTTTCCCTTCTATTCTCTTTTTCGAATCTCACAACCTGGCCACGGGGTTGAGATGCCCTCACTGAGGGCACACTCACACTACCACTTCCAAGA